AAGCAAAGATACCTAGAATAAAAACATTAAAAATTGTAATGTTATTTCCAGTCTATGTACATAAAGAACAAAAATGTATGCAAGGTCAGTCCAAAAAGTCACAGCAGCGCAATCTTATATTTTCTAATGGAACACCACGTATTTTCGGAACACCCTGTATTTTTGTATGGGAACACAGTACATGTTTAAATTTAACCCTTTTGGCGATATCGAGTTCACAAAATTATGTTTTGGTGTAATTTGCCAAATTAGTAAATCAAATTTAAAAACAGTATTCATGAAGTTATCTTAGAGAATGTCTTAAGAATTATTTCAGCTTTGAAATGGCACGTTTTTCAGTGAATCTAAGAGTACTGAAATATTAGTGATGGTAAGGGATTTTGGATGCGAACTACGAACATATCTTCTTGAAACAATTGCCGTGAAATGTATTGGTCGTAGGGGACAACTAAATGGCCCGCTCGGTCTTCCGATTTGACACCACTTGACTTTTTTCTATGAGCTAATATTAAAAATGATGTTTACAAAAATAGGTCACAAAATATTGAAGAGGCGCAAGAGAGAATAAGTCACGAAATTTCCGGTATTCACCTGAAAATATCTACTTCTAAATTCCTTAAAATAATTTATTTAGCGACTTCATTACTGTCAAATGGTAAATGGCGCACACTTTGATCACGTTTCAAAATAAAATTTCAATTTAATACTAGGAATCAATTAAAATATATTGCTTGTACCTTTTGTCTGTTTTCTTTCACCATTCCTGCTTGTGCAAGATTTAAAATATTAAATTTAATCATTTAGCGAATTACAGAAAAAATAATTTTAACAACTCTATATCCTCAAACGTTTTATTTAAGTGCGTAATGTTTAGAACGCCGAGGAGAAATTATTTATTGACTATCATTGAGGGTGTTCCATTTATGAGAAAGAAACTTCGTTTTTCCGTTGCTTTTTTGCTGACCCTGTATTCAAAATTTTTCTTCATGTAATTAGACTGGAAAGAACCATTCAATGTTAGCTCTCTTGGCTTAAAAATAATCCCCCGTTTCCATATATAGAAGCGACCCTGTAGAGATATCGATTGGGGATTTTGATTATGGCGAAAATTTAATTTTCTTTTCAAATGATAAAATGCTTGAGTTTGTTTTTATTTTCTAATTAATGACGTCACTTTCAAATTGCTTGCAAAATTTAATTCTATCAAACTCACGAGTTCAATGATGTATTATCACTAGGGGGCTGCTATATTTATTCCTGCATTATGCAAAACACTGCTGACGAGTGTATCCTATTGAGAGTCGTAAATTATGTAATTGGCACTAGATCAAGTAATATATCCCAACAGAAACGTTTGATTATAATATATGGATCATTAACTTGCATGTTTTCTAACCTAATTAAAACGCAACGCCTTATTTCTCATTACATTTTAACGGGGATCCATATTTGATTAAAAACAAAGTAGAATACCCGACGGGTAACTTTAGCCTGCTGGAATGAGGTTGCAGCAAAGATAATATTATGTTTAGTCGTAACTTGTATATGATTATGACAAGGTCTTCACATCCCCTACAAGGATTCTAAACGTTCTAAAAATTGGTATCACGTATGCAGATCTAGTCCTTAATAATAAATCGAACACTGCTATCTACAATGCAAGTTTGATAAATAATGGTTAATAACGCTAATCTGCTGGATTAAACATAAACAGTAATGAACCGCATTAAATTCAAAGCGATAATCATTCATAGCCCTAAATGTATTTGCATTAATTAAATGCGCATATAACCTATCTAGCTGATAGAAATACATTATTTACATATAATGCACAGTATATTAGCGGTGATAAATAGTCACAGATATATTGGGCGATAACAGCATGTATGTGAAATTCGGTATCTTTGTATGAAAGTACGTAAAACGAGTAATTGCTACCAAACAAATTTCTTAAATCACATTTACGGCAATCATGATTGATACAGTTGCTGACAGCAAAATACTTCAGCTGTAAAAAAATGCGTTGCATCGTGCGATCAAGTTTTTTAGGCGACCCAACCGTTTGGCTTTCAGTTTCCGTCGTGGCAAGCATTAGCGTTTCTTTCCAGTTATCTAAAAATATTAATTTTTGTTTAATCAGATATTACTATTAAAAAACGGTTTTAGAAAAGTTTTAGTAACTAATTTTAGATTCTGACTGAAAGACTAAAATATTTCTGTAATAAATATTGTAACGGAAATGGCCTGGGGTACTCACGTTTGGAATGGGGAATCGAAATTCATGGTGTTTCAGTAAATGGGAGCCCCATTTGGGCCCCATTTACTGTCAAATATGACACTGACAAGCGGGAAGTTTCGCACCTGTTCTGGAGATTTCGATAACTATCTGGAATACCTGGAGAAAAGGATATAAGCGACGACGAGAACCAGACGAGGGAGAGTGAAGTGACAGCCGCGCCTGAGTACAGAAGAAGTTAAACCCGCGAGTCGGAAATCCGTGTTTTCCGTGTGTTATTGTTATCGTTTGTGAAGTTGACATTAATTTAGAAGTTAGTTTGTTCCTGTTCCGTAGTTAAAGTTGTACCGAGTGGAATAAAAGTTGTAACCAGAAGAAAGAGTTTAAATACTCGGCCATCCACGGTACAATATATAGACAGTTAGCTTTTAGGGGAGATTAATTTACGTACAACATGACATTTAAATTTATTTGAAATAGCAAATGTGTGGCTGAATTTGCTGAATGCAAACAGTACAGGGTGATTCAAAATTGGAGTCATTTTTCTTAAGGGGCAATAGGAGCTCACTTGGAAGGTGCGAGAAAAATATTGAAATTTTTTTTCGATAACTTTTAGAAGATATTAACAGTTGAAAATCGAATTTCAACTTGGTTTTTAACCATTATTTTGAAAGTGTTCCATGTTTAATTGGTAGCATATTGGAATACTTAATAATTCAAAAAGAAAAATTACGATCTTTGCTTAAAATTTCACAAATTTTTCGTATTAAAAAAGTTCTCTTCTAGTTCTCTCTATCAAAAAATGATAAGAAGTCAAAGCGGCAATGATGTGTTTTGTCATTAACAAATAGTTACAGGTGGATACAAACTATGATTTACTTTGAATTTCCTTTCATGAATTTGCGGATATGCGACACAGCAGAAGCTTAAAGAACTCACGCCAACAAAGGGCGAGGAGAGTGGTTCCAGGAAGAAAGTGGATGGGAATTGATGTTCAGGTCCAATACACAGAGGAACAAGTATTGGACACAATTGCAGAAGAGCCTTTTAGGGCACTCAGAACATTGCCCCGCAACTGACACTTTCCCAGGCACCAAATAAATACCAGCTACATTCCTACCATGTATGTAAGATCACATTAAACCAATGGATTACTGAACACCGGTATAAATTGAGCGGAAGTCAATTAACCGAATACGAGAAGCTGCTCAAGAAGAGTGCAGAATAACGTGATTACACAGGCACTAACTTGTTTGGAGTTTAAGACGGAAATATATGTTTATTTGTATACACATCAGTTCGAGGTTGTGAGTTTCGAAATATGTTCCGTCAGTCAACGATTTCTGTTGAACTTACCGTTTATCATTGTCTATCTTATTGTCACTTTCTCTATTTATCAATGGTTACCGGAGTTTTAAATAATTACAAAGCAACAGGTATTTACGTAATGTTAATTATGCAGATTACTTTGAAAAACAGTGTTGCCGTTTTTCTAATATCGATTTTTGCAAATTTCTCAGTTTTTAATAACAATTAATATATTTTACAAATTTTTCTGTACTTTTTAAACACCGCCAGACAACACCTCCAGAGGAATGACGCCAATTTTGAATCACCCTGTATATGTATTAAAAAAATAAGTGACTTTCTTTAGATTCGTACCTAAATTGACTTAATTGTGTCGTACTTTAACTGTACCTCTGAGTGTGTTTGTATTGCTGATAAACATGCAGCCACATCATGAAGATTGTGAAAGATTGAATTGCGGAACTCATCGATCATCTCAGTTGATGATGATCGATAATCATCGTTTTACTCTCAGTACATTGGTTAGGCATTTTCGGCACACTAAAATAGCAAAAAACGCACACACACACACATAAGAAATATAACTGAATGGATAAATTGAATTGATAGCATAGCAAAATTAAGGAAAATTGTCAACAATCGCCCACCAGAAACTCAAATCAAAAGGTTTTAAGCAACAATTTAAATAAAACTTTGAACTTCCGTAAATGAAAAAAATTCGATAAAAGACATAAGTTAATAACATGAAATTGATGATCAAAAGGCCGTTGATAGCATTAAGCACGTTTTTCTTCGCTGTGACTTTTACGTTAAATAAGGAATCATTTTGTAAACAAAATTATAATTACTATATAGTAACATCAATCTATATATTCATTTATATTCTTTTTTTCCTGGGTTTCAGTCAAAGTGTGAAATAAAAATTTGTGTATCGTTTATTTCATAACGTTTCGGAGAGACAACAGCGCCATCATCAGATTTAAAATTGATACAAACTCATAATCGGGAAACATTAGATTCTTTAAGCTCTTTGCTGCCTTGAAACCTTTATCCATATTTTGAAAAGGAAACTAGTATAAAAAACTCGAGAAGTTGAAAACTTTCGCTCACAAAATAGCTTTGGCAATCGTTTGGAGACGCCCATAGATAAAGACAAGTATAGATAGCCCACTCCCTCGCACTTTGTTGGACCCGCTCTAACCTGCTGCCATCTATGGACGCAAAGGCACGGCTGCGTTTTAAATCTGCTTGCGAGTTTGCGTCCCTGCTACTTGTTTTGAAGGTTGGTGTCCTTACGATTATTGGTGACCGATTACTTTAATTGAGTTTAATATATTTGAACAGTGGGAAGACCTGTAACAAATATATCAAATTGAACATAAACATACTCCTAATCTCAATTAAAGTACTTCGACAGCCATTGGTTTTGGATATGTTGATAATAAAAAGATCAAAATCATTTTCAATTTTTATTGCAGTAAATAAATAGGCAAAACGCCAAGTAGCATTAATTTGTGAAAAATGTATCATGCAAACAACAAACCTTTGTTCAAAAAGCAAAATTATCACGTTATGAATGAAGGTGTAAGAAAATAAACAAATAATTCAATGTAACAACAAATAAATTAATTACTTAACTACAATTATGAAAGCAGATACATTTTTAGGTAGGCATATGAATATCACAATAATTTATCCCGACATATACTTGTGTACCATAAAATCGGTTTCCATAAGTCTAAAATCTACGGTAATACGTATGAATAAAATAAGTAAAAAGTAATAAAATCATTTTACCTATGGCCACTACTGTAAGTATATACAAATTGTCAATATACAATATATAAAACATACAAATTTGTCCTTTAGTTTTAGTAAGTTAATACGATCGTAGGTAAAGTATGGTACTCATGGAATTATTACGCAAAGTGCTACTTACAACTCTTATTATGTAATATACTATTACACTGCATGAAGTCCAAGAAAACAAAATTTCCTGAAAAACTGAAAGTAAAGCGGCACTTTTTAAAATGCGGTAATTTACTAAAAACCTTTAATCCCATTTTCTACGAAGAGGATATTTATATACAGGGTGATTCGCAACCTTATAGACACACAGCAAGGGCGTGTAGACGACCTGAAAACAAGTCGAGTTTCCATTTAAGGTTTTTTTTTTCTCAGGCCCATGGTCAACGCGACATACAGGGTGTTAACCTTTTAAAAAAATGTTAATATTTTCTCTTTAATTCCTACAGTTAATGAGATATTTGCTCAAATTTTAAACGTAGGCTATTGATTAAACTCTTAAGCCGTAGGTAAGCTACTATATTCCTTATTCATTGTATATCTACTTACACGGAACTGAGGCGATATTTGATGTGCTAACATATTCATGTGATGATCCAGCAATATCACATATGTTGGCTGTTTTTGGCGTGTTTTGCCAGGATAGACTTTCGCTGGCTTAAATAACCGAGTCTAGCGGACTCGACTTGGTGAAGGACGTGCCTGACTCTGCCGAAATCTTTTTCACGGGTTCCCTCATCCCTTAGGATATGATACATCCTCTCGATAGAAGCTATTCTCCTTGGAAACGGCACCTTAAACAGTTTCGAAATGTATGTAGTACTCTTTAAAACAAGACATAAGATAGTCTTATTTAAACATACCTGAAAAATATTTTGTTGGGAGACAATTTAGTAATAGTCTCCAGTTTGTCTTGAAACACACATCGTGAAAATGTCTGGACACAAATCTGCTACGAAATTTCCATTTTGCCAATAAATGTTCACATCCAGTCCGCCTGATCCAAATGCTTCTCAACTTTTCATTTCTAGGAAGTGCACACCTAGAAATATGTTGCTTTTATGTGTTATAATTTAAATACGAAAAATGTATGAGGTATCATGCACCATGTTGGCGTCCTCCATCAATCAATATGTAAATAATTCTAGTAATGCTGAAGCTTACCGCTTTGAAGATGTATCATCGCACTGAGGTACACAGCAACGTTGAAGAATTGAACTAATTTTTTAATAAATTTCATAAAACACTTGTAGAAAGCAAGAAACAATGCCGGCATTAAAGTTGTTTACATCAATGCTATCGATTACATCGATTAGACGCCTTGTCACTCGTAACCTTGAAATTGGAAACAACGCCATAAAGTCTGCCAGCCGTCCAGGCGATATTCTGTGCATTAAATCACTTGACTTAACTGAAAACTGTCCGGTACTCGTCATATTGATGTCTGTTTCGCGTGGGCGAAGCAAGGTGGCGAAACCCTCAGGCCAAAAACTTGGTTACGCGCAAGTCAATATGAGTGAACCCCCCCAGGAGACGCCTAAACCAATCCTTGACAAATTTCCACCGCATCGCCCAAACAACTTTAAATTCTCCGTGCGTCAAATGCTACTACGATCGATGGTGCCACCAAAATTACCTTCAGGGAACGGCGGTAGAACGGCGCATCATAAGATATCGGTTATGCATCTCGGCCTTCGTTGAAAGTCGACTCGAGACGACTTCACTCGAAGAAGCGTTACTGCTCAGCATCACTCGACAGCCAAGAAAAAGTGCTAAACGCGCCCAAAAAAAGTTTCTACTTGAACAAATATGTCAGCCAGTCACAGTATTTACGGTTTCTTTTTAAATTGCGCTTTTCAAGAGTAGATAAAATGTGCGACAATGTGGAAAATGCTTTAAATTCTAAGGTACAATTATAATCCACCGCTTTATAATCCATGCTGATTATTCTCAACATTTGTTGAGTTATCTTTAATACAGTTGAAGAAAGGCTACATCCTTAACGTTTTCTAAACTTTAAAATAACTTCTATCTTCTATGTTTAGTTTTCGACAGCGAAAACATTGACATGTTATTTGCAGGTCTGTGAAAAATTATAGAATTATTAAAGAAAACCTCAGGTAATTAAACCAAGTATTAACAGCGTTGTTTAGACCTTGGTGTTTGAATCGAATCCCTTTTGAAAGAGTACTTTCTCATTATCCATCAAGTAACTCCCCGATAACTCCTCAAGAGAATCTTTGAATACCATTGGTAGGTTAGTAGCGGAAAACAAACCATTTTCAACACAAATAACGATCAATTCACCTTAACCTCCTGGCACTAAAATGATAAAAGCAATAAAACTGTTTGACGACTTTGAAAACATAATCAACTTTATTTGGCAAAAAAGCAATATTATTTACCTTAATTTGAATGAATCAAGTACACGTATAAACCAATCGATATCAGTATTAAATTTGCTACGCATTCCTTACCTCCTTACCGGCAATCTGAACTAAAATTGATGAAGTATGTGCTCTATATATTCACAAATAAAGTGAATATCCTTTGAATGAATTTGTTTTCTGATTTTCTCTAACTCTAACATATTATGCCACTGCTAAGCTCTTTTGCCTTACATACATGAAGATCCATAATTTGGGTCACTTGCTTCAATAACTTTTTTTCACTTTACTGGATCGTATAAACACCGCATCAGTGTGCTATTTTAGACGGAGACTTAGCGCCACTAAGTGAAGTCAATTAGCAAAGTAGAAACACCCGACAGATCATTTTAGTTAGAGAATTGCGATAGAAAAACAATATTTTTGCAGCACACGAGCAGAACTGGTTATAAAATGAGATAATTAACGTCCTCAAGAATAAAAATATTTCAGCCGACCGAAAATGTAACAGACTGACTGCTTACAGAGATAATTCAACAGCTAATTCAAAATCAATCAAATTTAACCGCATTTGGAAAATAAGAAACCAGCGGGTTGTCATGGCGTTGACCTAGTTGAGCGTTGAAATAGAATTGTTAATAGTGGGTTGTGCACTAATATAATGTTTAATTTAAAGTTAAGTGAAGGGCCGCCTGGTCTAGACATTTGGAAAATTAATCAGGCTCTTTCAAATGGTTGCACTTAATCAAACTCGAACACAAAAGAAGTTAATAAATCACTTGATAGGCGAATTCTGGAAAAGAAGAACAAAACAGGGATATGCAACGGGCAACGAGTACACATCCAGTCGATAAAGAGACCTTATGACCTGCAAAAGCTGGTCAAGATTTGATATTAAACAGAAAAATCTGTCACAGTTAGTTATTGGTGACTAGGAATATGCTTAATCTTAATAGTTCTAATGAGCGAACGAAAGTAAATTCAGCTGAGCAAACTTTGATAAAATATTTTTAAAACTGCAAAGATAAACAGAAGATGCAAAACGCATAAACCATCGATACCCCAAAAGTTATTAAAAATTAATCTGCTGGATCACAATTTGAAACCGGTTCGGTAATGAGTTGAAGGACCAAATTTATGCACAAGCTAAACTACCCACATCATTATTGGGTTGAAAGAACGTCAGGCCACTCCAAATGTCCAAATTTAAATAGCTTTTACAATTATCGATAAAATTATATAACACTACATGTGAAAACCTAGTTACCCACTTGATCCGTGACAAAGGAATTGACGATTTTGATTAATCCCTGAATTACGGAGTTGTTCTCAGTGTTTCCATTATCGTCCAGAAAATAATGGAGACTGACATAAGATTCTCGACAAACAGTAAAGGGAGTTTCACTGGATTCATACCGGCTTGCTTGAATAAGTCTTTCTCGTAATTGATCAATTATCAGACTGAGTTTAAGAAACAATTGATTTTAGACATCTGCGTAGGAAAACATCAAGTGGTGGTAGGTCTAAGATTCTTGACGGCCATTCAATATGACATAAGAAAATGTCCTAATCTGGATCTAAATATTCTAATCTGGATAATTCTCATTCAGCAAATCTCTAAACCGAATAATATGAGAAATCGTCTTGAAGATGCAGGAAATCCTCGGACGAAAACCGATTTCATAGACGGTCTGTTTGGTTTCCTGCTTCGCGAACAATTAGAGGCTCTGTCGTATTCCGAAACATTTCGTCAAACACTTCAACATTTAAGGCAATAAATAACGGCCCAATAATGGTTTTGTTCAACACAAAACGAGTAGCCCGAAATGGACACAGATAATGGACAATCTAAAGATGCTCGGTTTCCAGACCTAGAGGAACAGGTATTGGAGATCATTGCAGCTGAGCCTTGCAGGAGTACTTGAGGCATTGCACAACAACTGCACTTTCTCAAACACTGGATACTTAATTGTCCCAATAGGTCCCCGAGGAAGAGCTTACATTCCTACCATGTATGTGATATGCACAGGATACAAGAACACATTAAATTTCTGACCTTCCGAACACCGGCTCAAATTGAGCAGCAGTTAATTAACGGAACACGAGAAGCTGCTCAAAATATGAGCCCGGTCTTAAAGTGATTGGGACACAATGATGTTTGGAGTGAAACGGGCAGGATTTCTTACTCTTGGGAACACATCTTCTGTTTTAACAACAGAATTGTATTTTATTTGATCAATAATATAGATCAATGACACATAACCTTTAACAGATGGTTTTGGATGACACTTGTGACCTATTTAGGTATATCATTCATTTGCCCCAAAAAGATGGCCGCACTCGGGAGGTTGTTTTGTCGCAGCACTGACCGCAAGGGGACACCGTTATACTAACCTCAACGCATGTTATTGTCTCTTTTATTTTTTTTGCTTTATGTTTATCCATGGTTACCGGAGTTTTTAATAATTACGAAGGAACAGGTATTTACGTAATGTTAATTAGGCAGATTACCTTCAAAAACATTGTTGCCATCCTTCTGATCTAGTTTATTTGCAAATATCTGAGTTTTTAATAACACTTAATTCCTTTTACTATTTTTTTCTACTCCCAAGACACCCCCCCCCCACATTTCTCCAGAGGAATGACGCTAATTTTGAATCACCTTGTATATCTGCACATAAGGGAGGAACTATAATAACTGCACACTTAGTGATGAGCTGAAGACTCTGTAAATAAAAAAAAACAGTTGTAAAAGTAATTGTATAAGTGTGCAGTTATTGTAGTTCGTCCATTTGTCTCTCCACAAAAACGTTAGTTGTTAATTTTACCCACTGACCCAGGTGAACAAATGTACAATAGTTCCACCCTTGCAATACCATGGAACCCATGAAAATAAGATGTTTCATCAGACCGTATCAATAATAAGATTCTGGAGGGTTGCCAACCTTCCCATGAGAAACAATTAGCACCCTGAAGAAGGCGGTAATAAATGGCTGAAAGCTTGATGGCTAAAAACGTGTATCTTTTTTCACCATTGCCCAGACCGAACAAACAAACCTAAACAAATGAACTAAAATAAAAAGACCCGAATTCCTGATAGATAAGAAAAAAATCTAGGGTACGTTTTCAGTTCTTAGAAAGTGTTTGCGATAGTTTTTCAGTACTTTGTGATAAATAAAGCAACCAGTGCATACAAGTAGGTTGAAACATTCTTGAACGGATGATGTTTTTATTCTTTTGTCCTTTGAACTGTCCTTTTTTTGTTTCTCAGATATAGTATTTTGAAGTGTTCAAAATTGTCCTCTAGTATAAAAACTTGTGTGTTTTCTCGGGGGGTCGCCAGCCGGGTTGCATGACAACAAAAGACAAACGGATCTATTTTTATTCAAAAATTGAAATGAAAATTATTTCATGTAACATAAAGCAACCAAAATACATAGAATCAACTAGTATGAACCACTGTAAAAAATGCATCCAATAAGAAATTACAATTGAGTTATTTGAGCGAATAAACTCGTTATAATTTGTTGCCTGCACAGAGTTGCATTTACAATTACAATTTTCGTCATAGTTCCCATTATAATAAAGTATGTTAATAACGATTTAAAAAAATCGAGTTACAAAAGTAAAATTAAAAAACCTGAATTTCTAATCCTCTTTATAAATGAGACTTTGATAATGAATATAATTGACATTTGACGATTGCATATCGATAAACATTGCTATTTTTAATTGAATGTAATCTTATAGTTATCTACTAGATACCATCTAAAATTTTGGACCTATCTGACCAGAATTAATTGTTTAAAATAGCTATTATCAAATATTAGTCTTCCATAATAAACCATTTACATTTGAACTGGTTATAATTTAAAATTGTAGTGCTGAAACGAATTTATACCGTGTAGACTATACGGATGTAATCTGCCGTTGTACATTTTAGAGTTTCAAAATTAAACCAAAGCCTCAAAACTCAAGAATCAAAACTTGTTGGACTTAAGCGTATTAAATCGGGACCTTATAGGATGTTAAGCATTCAAAGGGGAAGTCATATTATCAAACTTCTAGACTTTTTAAGACAACGCCTGATTTACAGGCGTAACTTGCTTGCATTTATAAGCGGAGCAGTAGAAGTCACGTACTTTATTAGACTACAGAAACCGAACATACAACTTTTAACAATAAAGAGAGATTATACCGCGCCAGACCAGTCCTGCTAGACGAA